AAAAAAAATAATCTCCTCGTAAGTGATTGCTCGTAAAAGGCGGAGATACTTAAGCTACTTACCATCACAAATATGCGCATTAGCAATCTGATAAACACAAATTATAATGAAGATCAATGCTACTTAAGATAAAAATACGTTCCACGTAAGAGGAACAGCTTCAACCTATCTTAATTCCTATCCCTCATCCCTCTCTTCGCCTTCCTTCCCTATCCATTCACTAATGGTAGGTCTGGTTACTCTAGTGCGCTTGAATGGCATGAGTATTCAAGAAACTATTCAGTATTTCAGATTTTGTGCTCGAATGATAACAACAACGTGTCAAAAACGAGAATACCTATATCATTCAAATATTTCAGCTTCAAGTGCTTTGAAATTCAAACCAACACTAAGGAATTTAGCTCTAGTAAAACCTATGAATTACTGAAATGAGCTGAGTGAGATTCGGAAATTTTTGAATCTGCTCAATTTCCTAAATTTTCAAAAGCAGCTAGTGCGGAAAACAACTTTTTTCACAGTTTCAGCAGCAGCAAGTGATATTAGCCCCAAATTTATTGACTGGACAGGGCAAAGTGTCTTTTAAGGTAACATTCTTTGTTTCAGTTCCTTGGGAAATCGTTCGAAACATTTCTTACACAGAGGCCGCATATCCATTTCAATAATCTTCGATCTGCAAAAAACAGCTAAAATGATAAAGCGAACGCTCCTCGTGATATGCAACAAGTAAAAATCAGGACAGCTCATTCGTTGCTAAACCTTGTTAAAATATTCATTTCTTTTTTAGCCTAACGGCAGCGAATTTTTAAATTTCAACTTTGTACCTGGCGCTTAATGTCTAAAAAATTTTACTCAAAGCCGAAAGTTGACCCAATATTTCAAGCCTAGTCTCAGAATCTGGATTTTAAAACGTGACTACAAATGGTTTTTGCAAGACTCTTGTTTCCCGTACGAACATGACTGGACAAATTAGAACGCATACTTTTGCATGAGTATTTTGTCACAAACCGAGCATGTATAGCAACTTGGACACCAGTTTTTTTGGAACACTTTCAGAGTTGTTCCTGTTTGACCAACACCACACTTGAAACAGGCATCCGCAAACCACTGAAACGGGAATTTCAACTTTTCTGCAAAACTTAGAGGGTCTGCAGAATAAGGCCGAAATATGAGCCATGTTCACATTTCATCCTTATTACTTCGGGAACAATTTGTAAAATCTGGCTGAGATGGAAATAAGTTTCTAATTACTTACTGCGATCAAAGTAATTTTACGAATCATTTACAGTTTCAGTACAATCAAAACAAAATTTAAACTAAACGAACCTTATTTCTTCTCGGAAAAGAATTGTTGGCACAGCTTTCAAAGCAAATTTGGGAAATTTGGAATTTAAAAAAGGACCGAATGTTTGTCTCTAATTTAAAAAAGAACCGAATGTTTGCCTCTAATTCGAAGATCATAAATTTTAAAAGTTTTATACAATCAGTTAATGCGCCATTCCTGCCAATGGTGGACGTCATAGAAGGAAACGCTAGCAGATTAGTTGACAGACAGTTGACAAAGACGAAAGCAGGAAAATAAGCGTTAGGATCGGCTGAGGTTGCCCAACCAGTCGGTTGCTGGTAGCTATAATAGTGCTGACTGTTGTACCCATGACGTTAGGATTTGTTAAAGTGAGACCACAAACTGTCAAAGTATCAAAGAAACAAGTGGGATGAATCAGAATTTTCAAAAGTCTGTGAAGAGGGAACAGTGAACAGTCGACTTTTGACAATTTTTGCTTTGAAGATGATTGTGTACATGCTTGGATAACTGTTGGTAACTTTAATATTCACATATAAAAATGGAAATAAACCTAAAATAATGACTTGTGATTCAGGATTTTCTCGGCGCCGCATATCATGTCTGAAGGCAAATACACTTTGACAATGTCTGAGGTGCTGCTTATTAGCGCCAGCTACGACACAAAAGAAAACACACCAAAAAATTTTTTAAAAATGAACCTTCGCATAGCAATTGTTGCAGTAAGCCTTTTCATTCCTTACAATGTGTTTATCGCCGCGAAACGGCTTCTCACACTTGGCACATAAAAAGTGCTGTAAAGATTGTTCGTTCCAGTAGTTCATATCCTTTTTGAAGTTTTCTTGAAGCAGTGTCTTATATTAAAGTTACTTTTTCCCCTGTGCTTTTTCAACCCTGGGCTGATATGAGCTTTGCAAGGCTGCGTACCTTATCTCGTTGGTAAGTACAGGAGGGACTCGTTGACCAGTACAGTGTCCTGGAGAAATCCCCGAATTCTACAAAACTGAGCCTATGACGGCAATGAAGAAATCTTGTATGACGAGTTCTGTTATGTACTGGCTTATTCGGTAATTGAGCATTAGTAACAGCTTGTTGCAAAAACTTGCATGTGTGCTTCCTGCTGAGCACCTTTAGTCCTTTTGCTAAGAAAAAATCAATTTTCGCTATCAAAGTTTGCATCGGTTATTCGGAATCGAGTTGTAGAAGTTTACTAACATCGAAATGCCAGTGCTTATCCAAGGCAAAAACACCTCGTTCATTGTCAATTGGACGCCGGCATGCTGCACATATTGCGCATACCTTTTGATCGTAGCATCGCTGACAGTACAAAGTATCCTTCCAACATCGCGCGTTTTCATCAAGTTCTGTACTGAAAAATAGTTAGTGACTGCTGACGACAATGCACCTTATAGGAAAAGAGAACTGAAGGGCGCGTATAACTTTCAAGTTACAGTGGTGAGGAGAATCACACAGCGACGTAATTACAACTCCTGAGAACTATCACAGTACTATAGCAAAACAAACATTTTCGATCTGTTGCAGAATTACCTGCATATTTTGCAAACGAAATGATAGGGATGATAATCAGCATTCTGATAAAAAAGCTCTTTGCCCTGTGCGATGTAAGCTTTGCCTGTAAAGAACATTCAGCTCAGTTTCAAAATCCAAATTACTCATTACTTGTCAAGCTATGCCGAATTCCGAAAGAGGGTTATTCAGAATGAAAACTCAACTTACATTTTACACATCGTTTTTCACCCTTGAGCTTTAAGAGTTTGTTACAGTTCTGGCAAAGAATCCTGAAATAATACAAACACCTGCTAAAAGATATATGTGATTATTTTGAAGTGCTGGTGCTTTTTATTCAAGAATGGCACAAATATTTCAAAAAGATAGGGCATGCATATATTTTTTTATCATGGTACGCATGATTTCTTTACTCTTAGTTTAACCCCTAAACAGCTCAAACTCCTAATTGCAGTCTTTAGCTTCGTTGAATTTTATGTTATGACCTTAGGCAAAGGAGAAAAAAATTTGCTTAATTTTAGCAAACTATTTGCAAGGCTGGTAGATGCTTAATCTTTTCAATAAATCAATACTAACATATTTGTGAAATCGCTGGCAATTTTCGAAAACCAAACAAAAGTGTGATTTATGATCAACAAACAAAGTAGTAATGGACGTTAATCAAAAACAGCTGTAAGGTAAATGGAAAAGTGCTGCGATTTTTAAAGAAAAATCCATTTTGAGCGGAAATCCGTATGGTTCACGCTTTTAAATAGAACTTACTGGCTATTGTCGTACCAAATTCTATCGTTGTCCAATTGTTTTTCACACTGCTCACAGCGAAGGCATTTTGGATGCCAGTTCCTGTTTGCCGCAACTATGACTCTTCCAATCACGAGTTCGCCTAAAACACAAGTAGCTACTCAGGAAGATGCGAAATATACTAGCTTTCTCTTTTTGAACGCTCATTTTCCCATCAATAAAATGCAATTTCAAAACTATTGTGTTGG